ACTCATCTGACCGAGCCAGGCCCTCATCGTGTCTGACATGAGAAAAGGAAGTGGGGTTACTGGCAAGCGGGGGGAGCTCCCCCAGCAAGTGCTCAGTTGGGCCTGGAAGGAGGGGTTAGTCATGGAACTCGTCCAGGACCTTGCTGTCAGGACACCCCTTCTTAGAGAGGGGCTCGGGAACCCACAGGGGCTGAGCCGCCAAATGCTTGGAGGCTCCAGGCATTATAGTGGACCTTCTCTTAAGAGGCTGTCCCCCAAGGGGCCAGAGTTACAGACCCAAAACATGACCTGTGGCTCCCGGTCCCCCCCTCCCTGCCCCCAGCCCTTCCCGCCCCATAGCTACATGTGTCAAGGTCTTGGGGTGTAAGATGAGCCCAGATCTCTCTGCTGGTACTGTGGGCTGTGACCTGCAGGCCACGTGTGTTGTGGTTAGAGAGGGAGGGGATAGAAGATGCCTGGGCAATTGGGCCTCCCACTCTGGGACCTACATATGCCTCTCCTGTGACGCACTCTCAGACACGGTGTGGGCTGTGTCACCTGGGTCATCTGCTCGCTCCGTGCACCTCCGAAGCCGAGGACGGAGGCAGACCCCTGCCTGCCGCTATGGTTTCTCAAACCCAGTAGCCTTTCCTTCTTGTAGCTCCCGGAGCGCCGCTGGATGCAGGTGAGGTGTCCCATGAGCCCAGAGTCCCAAGTGGTCTGGGTGCTCTGCCCCACCCTGCTGCACAGAGACATGGCCCCCCTAGATTCCAGCAGAGGAGTCTCTAGAGGGGCCTGGCCTCCCCGGGCCTCAACTTTCCAATCCTTAATATGAGGACAATATTCCCAACCCTTGAAACCATAGAATTTTTAGAGTTAGAAGGAGCCTTAAAATGCTCCTACTCACACTCCTTTGCTCGCAAAAGAAAAATCTCAGAGATGTTTCTCTTGGTTCAGCTACTGAACCAAGACAAAACCTTGGGTTTCTAGAGATGTACCAAAAGGCCCTCCTACCTCCAGGCAGTTCTCAAGCTTCTGTGTATATTGCAAGTCCCTGGGCTGGGAGTGTGGGGGTAAGGTGTTAAAAATGCAGACCCATTCAGTAGGCCTGGGGGTTCAAGAATCTGCATTTCAAACCAAGCTCCCTGTGTGTCTTCGTTCAGATCCACCTCCCTGGGCTGCTATAAGGAGACCTTGTGCTAGGCCAGCAGGGAAAAGCTTTAAAGCTCAAGGGTGTCAGTCACCCTGCTGCTCCCCATCTCCCCAGACACTCCCACCCTCTCCCTCTCTACCCCATGGCTCACCTGAGTGATTTCCAAGGACGCTTGCTTCCAAGTCTGGAATCCTTTCTACTTAAAGTGGGATGGTCACTGTCCCAAATTGCCTGGGATCCACTATCTCACGGGAGAACCACCAGCCCAGGTTCAGGATCTGGGGCTGGAAGGAGGTCCACCAGCTGTGACCCAGAGCAATCGGAGATTGGGAGGGGGCAGTGTTGGGGATAGCCTCACCCCCCCTCCTGATCTATGCCCATCAAAAAGAATTAGGTGTAGGGTCAGCCACTCCTGAGTGCAAACTCATCTCAGCCACTGACGACATGACCTTGTGCAAACCACTTCACTTCTTTGCACCTTGTTGGATCAACGGTGGGTTAAGGTACCTGCCAGGCACAGTTGTATTACAGGGAATGGCATCTGTGCACTACAAAGTGACAAACACCACAAGGTCAGGCCACCAGTAAAATACAGGATGGCACATTTATATGTTGAATTTCAGAAAACAGCAAATAATTTTGTGTACAAGTATATCCCAAATACTGCATGGGACATACTTATACTAAAATATGATTCACTGTTTATATGAAATTCAGAGTTAACTAGGCATCCGGGGGGGTTTCCTTGTTTGTTTTCTTATTTTAGGTGTGTCTGCTTTGTTTTGTTGCTAAGTTGGCTGATGGGCATTCCAGCAGGCAACCCCTCACCCTCTTCCTTCAGTCCCAGCACCAGCGGGACAGATCCTCCTGCGTCCCCAGACCCAGCCCTGCCCAACCCCCAAAGGAGCCTGGATGGAGGGGATCCGGCGCCTCCAAGGCGTTCCTTCCTCCCCACGGGGGTGTGCTCGGTGGCGGAGTGCTCCCATCAGCACGGTGACCGCACAGGAGGCTCGCCTGGCAGACGAAGGCATTTTTGTAACTGAAGGAGCCAGTCAAGGTCACTTGCTCTGCTCTGTTCTGCTTCTCTGGGGGAGGAGGGGATGGGGAGGCGAGGACAAGGCAACGAGGACAGGATCCCTTTGCTCCTGACTTTGAATCCCCTCTCCTGGGAGAGGCAGGCCACTTGCCTACAAACCCCTGGAGCTTGGGCCCCACGGAGCCCGATTTTCCTTGGCAGGAAGTGGGTGGCCACGGCTGGAAGTCTTGAGGTCCCCCACGTCCCCCAGCCGTTGTTAACCCTCTGTGCCATCACCCCTCTGGGCCTTCCAGTTAAAACATGACAGCACTAACACTTAGATCGTGCTGCTGTGTATCAGACACTCTTCTAAGAACTTCATAAATAATACCTTTTTAATCCTTCCAATAACCCTAGGGCGTGGGCACTAGCATCATCCCCATTTCACGGGCGAGGTAACGGGGCTGCAGAAGGGTCACATAGCTAGCTAGCAAGAGGTCGAGGCAGGCTTTGAACGGAGCCTGGGCCTTCAGCCGCTTTGCCCGGCGCCTCTGTGCAGATACGAGGAGCACAAGGGCAGGAGGAGGAGGGAAGGGACGACGGGCATCTGGCAAGCACCTAGGCTGTGCTAAGCACCCCTGCACCCCCGACGGAGCTGATCTCATTCAAACTTCACCGCAAACAAGGTGTGGGATACTGTTGCCGCGTGCTGAAGTCAGAGGCAGGGAAACTGAGGCTCAGAGAGAAATGTGAGTGGAAATCAGACCTCAGCTGTCTCGCATCAAGGCCCCGTGCTCGTCCCCTCACCACCCACCCTGCTCTGGTTCACGGTTCTCCGGACACTGCTCTGGCCAAACGCATGGCAGCCCACCACTACTCTTGACACACCCCCTCCCACCCGCCGTGAGGTGACCGAAGCCCTCATGCTCTCTTCTCGCTGCCTCCATCTCTCCCCACTGACCCAGACCAACCCTCAATCAGGGCCTGGACAATGTTCCTTACTCTGAGCCTGTCCATCCTTTCCCCCCGGCCACACATCCCCACCTGGTGTCCCTTTCCTTCCCCACATCACCGGCCGTAGGAGGAATAACATCTTAAGGTCTCACTGTTCTTTACATTCACCCGCATCAGCTGGTTTTGATCCTGACAAGCCCCGGGTTAGATGGACCACCCGGCATCACCCGTGTCCTAATTTCACACAGGAGGAAGATGGGGCTCAGAAAAGTTAAGGGTCCTGGCCAGACTCACCCAGGCTTTCCACCAGGACTCAGACCTCTGTCTTCTGACTCTACAACCAGGACTGTGTAGGGACCTCAGAGGTCAACCAAAGCACTTTAGAGATGAGGAGTCTGAAACCCAGACAGGACACTTGTGGCCTGTTCAAGGTCACAGCCATCCGTGTGTGGCAGAACTGAGACTGAAATCTACAGCTTCCAACCCTATAACACCTTGCCCTCCTGCGATAACACATGGAACCAATTATACCAACTCAGCTAACAAAGAGGTTAAAGATGCCAACTCCATCAAAAACCAAAGGCAAGAGCGATCAGAACCAAGGCATACCCCCATTCCACAATGAGGCTTCTATCGGGACATTCCTGTCTCCGGGACAGTCTTCTGGTGGGGCAGGCAGGTGAATGAGGGCAGGTCAGATCTTTTTAGGACTTGCTCCCCTGGTAGAGCCAGCCCAGGCTGAAAATGCCAGTTCAGGGGCCTGCGTCTGCTGGGGAGTGATGGCCCTGACGCCTAGGGTTCATGTTTAGTAAAGTATGGAGTGAAGAAGTGATCACAGGAATTCAGGGCATAGATGAGCAACATCCTTGAAATCCAGGAAGTGGAAAAAAGATATACCAAAGCTAAATCCACATCTATGTCACACATCTATGTCACTTTTTATAACATGTGTCTTACAGCTCTGGATCCTATTCTGCCAGACCCTCGGGAGCCAGGTGGGAGGCAGAGTCTGGCTGTGCAAGGTCACTGCTGGGACTGAGGCTCACATGCCTACCAGTGGAAGGCTGGAATCCACGGAGCATATGGACATTCTGCCTGCTCCCCATCCTGGGGCTCATCTCTATGGATGCTGGGGTCCCCCTCCTCTCAGCTCTGTCTCTGCTTCCCTCCGCTGGCCTTTGCCCGGCCCCTTAACGTCTGTGCCCTCTGTGTTTCCATCTGCCAAAGGGCTCTGTACATCCATCCGTGTCACCACGGGAAAAGTACACCAGGAAAGCAAAGGGTGCACCAGCCTGCTAAGGTTTTTGCGTTCACAGAACTGCAAATCTCTACTGCATCACTGGCTTTTAGCGGGCTGCCAGTATTCCTCACCAGAAATATTTCTCATCCCTTTTGGACAGGAGAACAAACCTGGGAGCTGAGAAACAGGCCTGCTTAGGCTCTGGAAGCTGCTGGAGAGCCCCTAGAATTGGCTGGATCTTTTGATGTGCAGTGTAGCGAGAATGGCACTCAGCTCTTTCCCACACAGGAGGGTGTCTTCCACTTAAGAGGGCCCATAAATAACCTGCACCCACCAGTCCTATGACCCAAAACCTGATGAGTTGAACTCCGACATGGGTGACAGAAATGGGAGGTCCCTAACTCCGGAAAGTGAGCTGTTGGAGAAACAGGTGGAGAAGCACGGCATCAGGGCCCAGAAACTCCAGAGAATCCAGATGTAACCCTCCCCACCCACTTTTCCCAGCCGACTGCCAGGCCAAGTTCAGGCTGGGAACCTGCCAGGCTTATACCTGAGCGACTCTCCTGGGGCAGCTGCTCGGGTGCCTGGTGCACCCGAGCCCCGGCTTGCAGGCTGGACCCAAGCCCCCCTGCCCGGGGACGCTCCCTGCTCCCCTCCTCTCACCCCCAGCCTGGTGTGCGGCCCAGCCTGCCGGCAGGCTCACCTTTCGGCAGCTTGGACGTGTTCTCCTGGATCCAGGAGAAGAGGTGGGCAAAGTCGCAGTCGCAGAGCCAGGGGTTCCCGTCCAGGCGCAGGGTGCGCAGCGCGGGCAGGGCGGCCAGGGTGGCCACGTTGAGGCTGCGCAGGTTGTTGTCGTTGAGCTCCAGCACCTGCAGCGACTCCAGGGTCTCGAAGGCGTCCTCGTGCACGCCCGCCAGGTTGTTGTTGGCCAGGCTCAGCTTGACCAGCCTCCCGGCCGAGCGGAAGGCGCCGGCGCCCAGCTGGGTCAGGTTGTTGTAGCTGAGGTCGAGGAAGGCCAGCTTGGCCGAGCCGCTGAACGTGCCCTCCTCCAGTGAGCGCAGCGAGTTATTCCTGAAGTCCAGGTACACCAGGTCGCCGTAGAAAATGAAGAAGTCCTCGGGGATGTGCTGGATGCGGTTGCCGGCCACCAGCAGCTTGCGCACGTCCAGGGGGAAAGGGTCGGGCACGCTGGGCAGCCCGCGGTCGCGGCAGTCCACGGTGTGCGGGTCGGTGCAGGCGCAGCCCGCGGGGCACGCGTGCCCGGGCCGGAGCAGCGGCAGCAGGAGGAGGCTGCAGAGCCCGAGCGCCGC